ACTTTCTGATTGTTGGCTTATTCTAAATATTATCAACCTCTGCTGACAAGTTAACCTATAACAGGAAATCCAACAGACAGAGTATAGTCTACATTACATTATCTTTATTACATATATTTAGTCCTAACAAAGGTTTGTACAAAGCCTAGTGACTCACCGTCCATATGGCTGGTATGTCCAATTTGATTTATATATTTTGCTACAGTGGAAAGGAAAGTTACAGATAATTGATTTGTGCTCCTTGAATTTTCACTGAAAACTTGATCATGAAATTTAGTAACTTTTAAATTGAAGATCAGGATAAAAATGAAGGAAAATGAAATATAAATCTAGATGTGTTTGGAGGTTGTAATCCTGACCTTTATCCCATGTCACAGACATGATCCCATGTCACAGACATGGGATGGAATCTTCTATTTTTTTCCACCAAGCACATTCCTTAATGATTCATCACTACACAAAACTAAGCTACACAAAATATCTCAAGCTCTTATGAAACATTGATAATTATGATTTGTTTCTATAATAAACAAGTAATGTAGTAATACTGATACATGTCTCGAAAACTATAAGAAGAAATAGAATATAACATAATGAGATATAATGGGTGCTCCGTCTTCTAAATCTACTTGTGATTTTAACATATTCCTGTTGCCTTATAAACTTTATTAGGACCCCCGGAGACAGGGCAAGACACTGTAGGAATATGTTTGATATATAGTTGGATTAAATAACAACCTAATATATCAAACATATCACACAGAGGCCTGCAGAAAAGGCATCCAGGTTTGACTGAGCTCGAGAATAGGCACAGAACTGAAGGTTACAGCTGCAGGGGGTGGTCGCCACTGCAGCATCTCCGATACCTGTCTCTGGAGCACGGGTGTGTCTGTATGGGTGGAAACGGCGTCATTAGCAATACTGTCAGCACAGGCACCAGGGCACTGACATTCTTGTTTGGCCATTATACCATTTTCCCAAGCAAAAGGTGGATTCAACAGTGCAAGTTTGTTCATCATTTATGTCTGGGAGATTCCAGGCAAAAGGAGTTGTTTAAATTTTAAGGGCCTGAGGTGGGAATATAGCAGACTCATCTTCATGAACCACGGACCATTCCCCTTTTAAAACAGGCAACCTGAGAATGCGGTGAGTCGAGCAATTTAAACAAAATCATTGCCCCTTCCCACAACTATTCCTCAAAGCAGTGCAAATGTTCCCCAGTTCCAGTGGGAAGGCATATTCATTTTATACTGAGGATGTGTATATGGGCGTGTGTATGTGTGTGCAGGTATGTGTAAGGGCGAGTAGAGTTATAGGGACAGGAATGTAATAACAATTATTTATTTACAGTATCCCGGGGATTTTTTTTTTTTTAAGGTATTAGAAGAGGATGGAGAGAAGCAATTAACCTCAAAAGAATGGTTGGTTTTGGTATCAGAATAGGGACAGGAATGTAATAACAATTATTTATTTACAGTATCCCGGGGATTTTTTTTTTTTTTTAAGGTATTAGAAGAGGATGGAGAGAAGCAATTAACCTCAAAAGAATGGTTGGTTTTGGTATCAGATTTTTTTTTTTTTTAACTAGGGAAATAAATTCCTTCATAAAGGCAAGGATTTTATTTCATGCAGAAGTTATCACAAAGTGGACTGTCCTTCTAGACAGGCACAAAAACTACGGTTTGAGTTCATGGTTTCTTCAAAACAGTCTTACAGATCACATCCATGTGGAGGGAGCCCCTGGTCATCAGGCAGAGAAAGACTTCAGACCATTCTAGAAGTACTACGTACCTTTCCTAATATGATGGGAACAACCTGAGGTAGGCATCCTCAAGGTGGGGCTCAAATCAGTCATGTTAAGGATTTCTCAGCATTCAATAAAAACCCTCACTACGAGTATAAATACAAATGCTAGATGATCCGAGCAAGAATACTGTGGGGGGTCCTTACCAGACATATCAGTAATGATCACTATTTTTTAAAGTGCTGTTATTTTAAAAACACTGTTCTATAAAATTTTAAAACACAGACCCTTCCATCATCCCAATTCCAACATCATTCTTGTACATCCCCTACTTATCTCCTTCATAGGCAAGTTTTTTTTTTTTTTAAGAATTGCAATAATAATGAGCACATAATTCTGCATCCTGTTTTTTCCCCCTTCAAGTCATATATCATGAGCATCTTCTTTTTTTTTTTTTCCTTTTTGTCTTTTTTCGTGTCCGGCAACGGATCGCAACCCTCAGTGTCGCGCCCGTACCGGACCGGGGACCGGCAACGGGATCGCAACCCTCGGTGTTGCTCCCACACCTCGCTCAGCCAGTGAGCGGGAACCGGTCTGTATGTGGGATCCGAACCCTCGGCGGGAGCGCCACCGCGCTCCCAAGCGGAGCACTGTAGCAGTGCGCCACCGGGCCGGCCCATGAGCATCTTCTTGATGCTACACAGTTCTAGAAACCATTACTTTAGTAGCTGCACAATATTCCTTCAAGGAGACACATGGGTCACATCCAATTTCTCATTAATACAAACAAAGCTGCAAGGAACAACCTTCTGACACGCACACAAGTTTCTTCCCTTCTTGGATTTCCTCATCAGGACAGATTCCCAGAGGTGGGATTAATGGCGAACCACAAACAGCCCCTGTGGAACGAGACCAGCCTCCTTTGACAATGGAGAGAGCAAAGGGGAACTGGTATGAACTGAAACTGCCACCAGAGTCCACATGCACCACCCTCCCCCCCCTCAGGCGTGGTGGTCAGATCCTGCCAAGGTTAATTCACCTCTTGGCTCCTCTGATTCCTCATGGACTTGCTGCAAGGATCAGATGAGTTAATTCATGTAAAGTACTTAGAAGACTGGCTGGCACATTGCTTGGCACTCAATTAATGCAAGCTTTTTGTTTTTCCTTTCTCAGAGGCCTACAGAATAATTTTATTTTAGAATTACTGGGTGTACTTCTGAGGTTCATGTTTCCTTTTTGAAGGAGAGACCTAGCATTGCTATTTCTCCATGGAAAGCATAATAGAAAGCAGAAAATTGGAGGCTGACAATCTCATATCCAGTAACAGGAAGTTTTGACAGGAGATATCCAACACCTGATTTATAAAATGGAACTGAATCAAGACAAAAGATAAAAATCCCAGAAGCATGTTTTTGGTGATAATGATGACAACATGGTGACAGAATTACCATTTTTACTGAGTCTTATTGTATGTCAGGTGCTGTGCTCTTGTTCTTACATTATCTCATTTAATTGGTTTAACAACAATCCTAATCAAGAATCATGAAGTAAATGATTCAACTGTGGGAAATCAGGATTCAAAGACAGACAAGAGCTCAGAAGGACCCCACAGAAGAACAGAAGGGCAGACATGGGAATGGGAGCTCTTAGAATATGGTGAAGCGTTAATATTAAATCAGCACCAGGCTAATTCTCCAGGAGTGACTCCAAAAGTGTCAACTGACAGGGCTTCAGCATTAGCAGACAGGACCTTTCGCAAGAGAGGCCATTTGGAATAATCAGATAAGGAAAACGAAAAACAAATTAAGCACCAAATCTCTAAGTCTTACTCAATGTTTGATTCTTAAGTTTAAAGTACATTTTTCATCGATGATTAACTTGATTTACAAAGCAGAAACAAAGCCACAACCAGAGAATGGAGAGCACCAAATCTCTAAGTCTTACTCAATGTTTGATTCTTAAGTTTAAAGTACATTTTTCATCAATGATTAACTTGATTTACAAAGCAGAAACGAAGCCACAACCAGAGAATGGAATTGTCCTTACACCCACATATAGCTCTTAAGTTCAGAAGAAAAAGACTGACAATACCAGACAACCTAAGACCTTCATGTTAGGAGCTGGCAGAGAGAACCCTGTAAACCCAACTATCAGAAGCCCAAACTCTTAAATTCCATCTCGATGAGAAAATTTTAAATGCCTTTACCAAACCTAGAGTGATTATTTGGAGACAGGTTCTAAGGACTCAAAGGTTTTAAGAATATTCCCAAGCTTAATGGACTCAGTACATGCTCAAGTCTATTTTACGTACAACATTGGCCCAGGCACTGCTTTTGAGCAGTTGGTATATTTCAGAGCTCAAACTCCATCCTTTGGTCTTAAAAAATAAGGTAGAATTTTAGGCATAAAACTCCCCAAACTGGGGGATCCAACTTTTTTCTTTTTTTTAGGGAAAGAGCCAGATTTTATTTCCTAATATATTTGGGTATCAGAGGAATATGCTCGAATAGGAAAAAACAGAGGCCTTCCCTGGTTCCACCGTCTTCCTGCCGAAGACAGCCACTGGGGGTGAGGTGGGAGGTTACAGCTTCTTAACAGGGGTGGGTTTTGCCCCTGGAGACAGCACTAGCTCACGGCCACTTTATTTAGAAAGTGTCCTATCTACTCCCCATCTAAAAGTATCTCTTTCTTTTAAGTAACTATTTCTCTTAACACCTACGCATGATCTTAGGTCTTAAACACTTATCTAGATGACAAACATAGATGGGAAAAACACACCAGCCAACCCGTCTCTAACATGCACTGAAAAAGTCTATTAATGGGTGCACTTCTGAGGTTCATGTTGCCTTCTGTTGATTCTACAAAAAGGAGAGACCTAGCATTACTATTTCTCCATAGAAAGCATAATAGAAACCAGAAAATTGAAGGCTGACAATCTCATATGCAGTAACAGGAAGTTCTGACAGGAGATATCCAACACCTGATTTATAAAATGGAACTACATCAAGATTATCAATGCCCTGATTCTTCCTCTTGATACTCAGAGGTATTTTTCTGGGTGGTTAACTTGAAAGACCCACTGTTTTTTTCCCCCATACTCTGTGCAAAGGTGCTGGGCAGGTAGAGCAGGTTGCTGCTTGCTAGTCTAACCATGGGGAAGGAGACAAGCTCCCTGCAGCACACCTAAGCTCCATTTCCCAGCCACCCACGGGAAGACCTAGTGACATCAGACAAGCAACCATAAATGAACACTCACTTTTGGTTTTGCTCTTGGCTTCAGCTGCTCTAACTTCTTAGCAGCAGCCTCAATGGATGCTGCAGCCCCCAGTAATTCTGTTTCTGCAATGACGGTTGGGTCTTCTGGATCCACCCACTCTGTTCCTAAAATCAGTCCAAAAGAAGTCATTCTTGGTAGCTGCAGACCTCAGGACAATCATTTATTTCAAATAATATACAGATTTACAAGCAGAGAGGCCCCATGAGCCTGCATTGTCCTAAGGGACCTTTTCTCTAGTGCTCATAAAAGCCATCTAGACGTGTGGGTGGGGGTGCTAGGGGAGAGCTAGTCCTGGTTTTCTAAGTCAGTTGTGTGTATAGCCCTGCCACAGAAGCAGTCATCAACAGCAGCTTCAAAAACGAAGATCTCACGGCCCAACGCTTCAGCCTTACTCTGACTTCTAATTTCAAGCTCATGAATTGAAGCAAGCATTCTCAGGAGACTCCAGGCCACATAGAGATTTGCCATTCCCTTCTCCTGGGAACACATGAGGAACAGCCACTCATCTCAATTCAAAGGAAGGGAAATTGGTAAGAAAACCTTTCGCTGGTGAGTTGATGGCTTCTATATAAGCACGAAGGAATGTGCAAACAAAGTATTCAGATAGCGCTGCTCTCTAAACATAAAGGTATTCTTTGAATGAGAATAAATATCCTGGTGAATGAAAGTGCAGATAAAAATAAATGGCAGGACTCCTAAGAGAAGTGAGCAGTTCTGGATGGATTATACCATTTAAGTTGAAGTAGCTATTACAAAGACCGGAGAAAAGACTTGCTTCAAGGAGGATGTTACTTTTAAAATCTAACTCTAGGGCCGGCCCCGTGGCTCACTCGGGAGAGTGCGGCGCTGGGAGCACAGAGGCCGTGGGTTCGGATCCTATATAGGGATGACCGGTGCGCTCACAGTGCTCACTGGCTGAGCGCGGTGCGGACGGTCTCAAAAAGGACAAAAAAAAAAAAAAATCTAACTCTATACCCATTTACTTTAAGAAAGTACCTCACCTTTAAGAAAGGACTCCCTCTGACTGCATTTGCCAACAAAGGGCCGGCACTGGCTGTGCCTCTCCTCTGCTCAGCTGGCTGTATTAGCACTGCCTTCAAGCGGTGCCCTACAAGAGGAGATGAGAGAATCCCACCTACCTTTCATGGCTTCCGCTGCCTGGATGAGCTCAGTCACAGCGCCGGCAACTCGCTTGGAGAAAGCAGCCAGTTGATGCTTGAGTTCTGGGGTGGGTTTCTGCAGAATCTACAGGTGAAGAACAGGTCAAATGTAAGGAGGATGCTAACCAATGTGGCAGTTACTAGGGGGCAGGAGGCCGAAGTCCTGGTTTTAAGCTGCATCTCTGTCCCAAAGTGACATCGCAATCTCAGGGAGAAACACTCAAGACACACTGGGCTTCAGTTTCCTCATGTGAGAAATGAAAAGTTAGGAACCAGGGATGCCTCTAATGTCCCTTCTGACATAGTTCTCAAAGATCATAAAAGAGACAAAGTCCTTATTTGTCCTTTATTTGTACACAAAACAAATACATGTGCATGAAAATTCCCCAAAGTGTAAGAAAGTTATGAGTGAACACAAAAGCCCCAAGTCATGGGCCAGCCAGTGCTTGTGATAAAACAAATGTGGGATCAGAGGAGATGTGTGACTCAGATGGGGTTGTGGAGACAAAATCTAAGTGAGTAACAACTGATTGGGAAGGTTGCCCCTGAAAAAAACAATCCACTTCCAGGATTTTGACTGCAAGCTCTCCTGTGAAAGTTTGGACTTGCCCTCTTTTGAACTAGTTCAAATGTTTTTTAAATTGTTTTTTAGCTTTTTAAGGATTAAAAAAAGTAGTGGAAATCCCAAACACCAATCCAATTTAAAGAACATCCCCAGATGATTTCCTTTAAAATTCATCCAAGAATGGAACTAAGAAATGGGATGCAAACCCCTCACCATCTTTATCATGGATTTGAATTTTGATATACGCCATCCTGTTCCTTCCTCATTTTGAAATTCCTCTTTCAACACTTTTCTGCATCTCTTCCTCACGTTTCACAATGGTAATCTTCAGATTTAGAAATGTGAACATAGTCAGGAGAAAAGTGCAACTATTGTCTGTCTCTGGACAACTGTGGAGCCTCTGGGTAGGGGCTTTAGAATCGGACAAACCTGAGTTCAAACCTGGCTTTGTGTGTTGTTGGGCTGTGATCACTGACCCCCTCAGAAGCTGTTTTCTCATCTGTAAAACTGGGATAACGCCTATCCCTCAGGGCTGGCGTAAAGGTCGAGTAGAATAACACGTGGGAAATATCTCACACAATGTCAGGAACACAGCAGACATTCAGTAAATGGTAGTTCCCTTCTTGGTGACCCACACCCTTTTATACCTGGCCAGGTAGCAAAGTCTTTCTCAGGAGTCTGGAAGAAATGGCTTTTGAACCCTAGGCCCATCCCCTTTGGACCATGACTATAAGGCAATCCTTGTAAAAACTGGGTGGGAGGAGTTAATGGGTTACACTGTGACCAGCCCAGACACACCAGTATACGATGGCATCATGTTATACACTCACACCAATGAGTCGTGATCTTTGAGCATTACTTCACATGCATGTGTCCTCCCTCTCCCTCCTCTTGTGATCTTTTACATTTATTTTATATTTGCTATTGTTCTATGATTCCACCTGCTATTATCCTTATTCTCCCCTGCTAAGATCTACACATATCATTCTGTAGATATTAAGAACTTAGGACAGACCTGTGAATGAGTAAGCAACTGAATAAATAGGGAAAAACAGATCAACACTCCATTACAACAAGTCCTAATGTAACTGCTTCTGTAGCTCAGTTCCAAAAGAACACTAGAACCACGAAGAGGTAGAGAGAAGGGGGGTAAGTGCTACCTTCTAACACAGCCAGTGGGCAGGCAGTTTAGTTAAGTGTAGGGTTCTGGAGTCAGGGTACCTGTGTAACCCTGGTCCAGTTACTTATCCTTTCTCTAAGCCTCTTTATTTATCTACTAAATGGCACAACAGTCCTTTCTTTAAAAGTCGTGGTCAGATCATATAAATTAATACACATAAAGGTCTACTAATAGAGTTGGTCTGGCATATGACTTGGGCATCTGGATTTTTAAAAGTTCTCCAGGAGGTTCTCATATGTAGCCAGAGTTGTGAACCATTGATCTAGACTCAGATGATGGTACTTGCCACCACCAAACTATAAAAGGCTTGCATCATATTTGTCTGAAACAATATATGCTGTAAGACCACTAGGCAAATAATAGTTATGGCTCAGGGTCTGAACAGCTAAGCAGTTCATAGGTATTGTTAAATGGCTTCTTTACAGTGGCCAACACAACATGAATAAACAAAGGGTTAGAGGTATGGTGGAGACACGCACACTTAATGGCGAAAGACTGAGGGTTTTCCCCTATAAAATCAACACTAAGCTAAGGATGTTTATTTTTACACTTCTATCAATAATGCACTAGAATTCCCAGCCAGTGCCATAAGTCAAGAAAAATAAATAAATGACACACAGACAGAAAGGGAGAAGTAAATTGTCTTTGTTCGCAGATGACATGAACATCCATATAGAAAATTCTAAGGAATCTGTAAAAAAACAAAAACAAACTTCTAAAACTAATAAGTGAATTTGGCAAAGTCATAGGATATAAGGTCAACATATATACATCAGTTACACTTCTACATACTAGCAAAAAATAATTGGGAATTGGAATTTTAAAAAAGCAATACCATTTCTAATAACATAAAATTATTAAATCCCTAGGGTTAAATTTGACAATAGATATACAAGACCTGAACACTAAAGACTACAAATAGTGTTGAGAAATAGTAAAGACGACCTAAAAAATGGAGATATATATTATGTTCATGGATCAGGAGACTCAATATTGTCAAAATGTCAATTTTTCCCAGATTGATGTATAGGTTCAACACAATCCCAATCAAATTCCCAACAGTTAAAAAAAAAAAAATTGTCAAGATTATCCTAAAATGTATATGAAACGCAAAGGAGCTAGAATAGCCAAAACCATTTTGAAAAAGAACAAATTTGCAAGTTTTAAACTAACTGGTTTTAAGATTTATAAAGATATACTAATCAAGACAAGATGATATGGGTATATAGACATACAGATCAACAGAGCAGAAAAGAGTCCAGAACTAGATTCATACACATGGTCCCCTGATTTTCAATAAAGGTGCTAAGGCAACTTTAATTCAACGGGGATAGCTTTGAATTAGGATAACTTTAGAAACAGGATAACTTTTTCAACAAATGGTGCTGAAACAATTGGACAGCCACATGTGAGAAAAGGAACCTCCACCCTTCCCATGCACCATATATGTAAATGAACTATAAATGGATTATAAACCTACATATAAGAATTAAAACTATATAGAAGAAAACAAAGGAAAACAATCATAGTGATCTTGGATTTGGTAAATATTCTTAAATAGATGACTGAAAGCACAGACTGCAAAAGAAAAAAAAAATCAATAAATTGGACTTCATCAGAATTAAAAGCTTTTGATTTTCAAAAGACCATTACCCATACAATGTAATATTATTCAGCCATAAAAAGGAATAAAGTACTGATACATACTACAACACAGATGAATTTTAAAAACATTATGCTACATGAAAGAGGCCAGTCACAAAAGGTGACATATTATATGAATCCATTTGTATGGATAGTCCAGAGTAGGCAGATCTGTAGAGTCAGAGTGTAGATCAGGGGCTGTGAGGGGCTAGGAGTGGGGGGCGGTGGGAAGAATGGGGCAGGACTACTAAAGGGCCCAAGCTTTCTTTTGGGGGTGACGAAAATGTTCTCAGATCAGATTATGATGACAGATGCACAACTTTAAATATACCAAACAGCAATGAATTATATATTTTAAGTGGGTAAATTTTGTCATATGTGAATTCTATCTCAGTAAGGTTGTTTAAAAGAAGAGCATTAACATGGCAAACAAATGAATAACAGGAAGCTGGGATATAACCCTAAAAGTAATTCGATGACCTTTGCAAAAGAAACATTTAGTTCATCCTAAATGTTTAATATCAGTTCATACTAAATACTTAATAACTGAGGTATAAAAGGTGTATTTTGGTTTTACTTTCAAATTTATCCACATTCTCTCTGAACATCATTTTCTTCCCTAACCTCTCTAGTGCTGTCATTTTCTTTTTTTATAATACACATTTGTCTCCCTTGCCCCTGCAAGACATTGTTATGAAAATGAAAGAACAAGACACACCCTGGGAGAAACGATTTCCAGAATGTATATCTACCAAAGAACTTGTATCTAGAAAATTGGAAGAATTATAAAGCTCAATAATAAGATAAACAACCCAATAAAAAATAGTTAAAAGATCTGAACAGACATTTGACCAAAGATACACAGAAGGCAAACATGGAAAAGCACTTGGAACTCACACACTGCAGGTGGAAATGTGAAATAGTACAATTACTTTAGGAAACAATGTGGTAGTGTCCTAAAAGTTAAACATAAACCTACCCTATGACACTAACTTTCCACTTCTAGGTATGTACTGAAGAGAAATGAACACATACTGGCACGAAGACTTGTATATGAATGTTCTCGAAGCTTTATTTGTAATAATCAAAACCTTGAAACAACCCAAATGTCCATCAACAGGAGAATGGATAAACATGTTATGGCATATGGCATATCTATACAACGGAATACCACTTAGCAATAAAAGGAGACAAATTATTGATACATGAAACGACATTGATGGAATTAAAACTACTGATGCTGAGTGAAAGGAGTCAGACAAAAGGAGTAGATGTCATGTGATTCCATTTATAGAAAAATCTAGAAAATGCAAACAAATCTATAATAAAAAAAAAGCAGATCAGTAGTTGTTGCCTGGAAATTTTGAGGGGTGATGGATATATTCACTATTTTGATTATGGTGATGCTTTTACAGATGTATTCATAAGTCAGTACTCAAATTGTATACTTTAAATATGTATTGTTTATTGCATATTAGCTAAGCCTCCATAAAACTGGAAAAAAGGTTAAGGATGTGGGGGGGAAAATCACTTAAATCATCAAAGTGAAATTATTAAAGCCTTTAAGAACCCTTGATGCAGAGAGAGGAAGTAGTACTGCTGTGTCCACTACAGTCCTCTAAGACAGTGAACAGCCCTATGTTAAAGTACCCTCGCTTAAGATAAGGCAGGAGAGAAAGTTCTATTTTTAT